AGCCAAACAAAAAAAATCGTGACATTACTGCTGCTTAGAATATAAGGGATACACCAAGTTTCCCACATGTGCAGAAACGAACAAAAAAAAAAGGCCCACTCAGTACTCAGGAATGGAGTACTGAATCTTCAGAGCTTAACCAGACCTGCTTATGTATATTTAAGCAACTTTTTTCTACAAAAAGGTCCCACAAGGCCCAAAAGCTGTATGCTATTGTATAGTTTTATATTGACAACAAAGGTGGTAAGAATTAGCAGAGATATTACATACTGCATACATGGAAAGCAGAGACCCCATTTTTATTTGGTTAAATAATTTGTCTAATTAATAAGTTTAAAACAATAATTCTGGAATTGAAAATTCCTTTTCTGTGGGCTAATGTGTATCATTCGCCCTCTGGGCTTTGTACAGGACACTTCTGAACCCTATACAATTAAAAAGCAACTAATGCCAGCAACAACTTGATTTTCTTTGTATTGTAGGCTCAAGAACTCAAATGATATTTTAAAAATTACCACCTTTGTAATTAAAACAAGTGACCTGAAAAGATTCCCTTTATTATTTCCTACATGGGTTCACATTTCTCCAGTTCTATCATCTTTTCACCAGATTTGCTATGGCTGATTGATTATGTTGAGGACAAGAATATATTAAGGGTACATTTATTTTGGGGGGAGAGGGGGAAATGTGAAAAAAAATCTCAAACAACTGCCAGAAACCTCAGCTGTAGTTAACCCTCTACAATGATTTTTGCAGAAGAAAAGTCTGTCAGTTACACTAATGACCTTGCCTGAAGATCAGATTAGTCAGGCACAGTTTATCAACCTCAAAAATACAGCAAACTACAAGTATTTTTACTAGTAAAACGCCTTTGCACTATTTCAAAGCTTAAAAGGAACACCAACTGCATCATTTGTATTGTTGTAAAACTCAGATTTAATTTTAAATAAATGGTGTCACTTCCGCTTAATCTGGTTTCCTAACAGTAAAGGAAGAAGGTAACGTTTTCAAAAGTGAGTAACTAGTTTACGGGTGTGAAGTTTATTTTTAAAAGTTTTAGGCCAACATTATATTCAGGTATCTAAAGATACAGATAGGCATATAGTGGGATTTAAAAGAAAAAACACACACATCAAGGAATGTAATTCCCACTGAAATAATTTTCATGAACTATTAGTTAAAAAAAAACACTAGCTCCCTCTCTGCATCTTTAGGCGCCTGAATTCTTTGTAAAAACTGGCTCTAAGTACCTACATTTCTTTTGAAAATCAGCATGTACTTGTGAAAACTTTACCCTTAATACATTTAGTATACAAGAGGCGAAAGAGCTAGTCCTTGCATCAGCCTCTTTTAAAGATCAGTGCAATTCTTCTTCTCTGTGCCCCCAAAAACCGGATGCCGTGCGCTATAAAACAATCCTAGTTTTGAGGAGCCACAGAGACTGTTTACATATGGGGTATGAAGTCAGGCTATCAGCACAATAGGGGCGTGGCTTTCTTGCATAAGCGCTCAAGGAGATTGCCCCATCTCTAGCCAGATCTGGGGTATCCTCCACTGCCGGGGGACATCACATCCTGCCTCCTTGCAACAGGGCTCTATATCTTATAGTTGTGTCACCGCTCCTGACAAAATCCAGAAACTTGTGTAACGCTGTTGACTGCAGGCGTCGTAAAAGGCCCAGCGCTTGGGTTCGTCGCTTAAGAGTCAAAAGGAAATGACTGATCAGCGACATATTTGTTCATTTTTTTAATTGTATCCTTTGGTATATATGGTTGTGACTACTTTCTTCCACTATTTGATCTGAGGGTCTGGCCCACGAAAGCTCATCATCTAATAAACCATATTGTTAGTCTTTAAAGTGCTACATTGTCCTGCATTTTGATCAGCGACAGACACTGAAAAGCGCCAGAGCCAAGCACAAGGGCAGCCCTTGGATGTTCATTTTTTTAATTGTATCCTTTGGTATATATGGTTGTGACTACTTTCTTCCACTATTTGATCTGAGGGTCTGGCCCACGAAAGCTCATCATCTAATAAACCATATTGTTAGTCTTTAAAGTGCTACATTGTCCTGCATTTTGATCAGCGACAGACACTGAAAAGCGCCAGAGCCAAGCACAAGGGCAGCCCTTGGACTTACTCCGGGGAGGGGATGCTAGAAGCTCCGCCTCCACCGCCCCAGGC